TTTTTTTTTTTTTTTTTTGCTCATGCAGATTATTTTGGCAAACCGATCTAACAATTTTTGAAATTTATATTTATATTTGAAAAACTGAATAATTTATACTCAAAAATTTGCAGCATCAATACATGACAAATGATTCTAATGGATTTTCTTTTTTAATGAAAAGGAAAACAAGCAACATTTTACTTAATCACATTATAAAATTAGAAAATAAACAGGTTTATTTTAGCCACAAGACTCTGACTTTTTTGATCAATCACAACTGTGCTCCAAGCAGTTAAATAGGTTGGTCTATAAAGCAAAAAAAAAAAAGACAAATAGATAAATAAAAATAAAAATAAAACAATAATAAACAAAACTTTTTTTTTAAAATTGTTTTTTGTATGTACAAACACTGATACAATTTAACTGTTCATACAGTCAAACATAAGAGGAAAATAATTGGTTATTTAAATTAGATATTCTAAAGAAGAAAGAATTTTCAGGACTGCAGTATTCAGTGATATTTGTAGGAAAAATGAAATTAATAAAAAAAAAAAGGAAAATAAAGTATTGTACGGAAATAAAGTGAACCAGTGAAAACGACCCAAATTGATCTGTGGTATCATAGGTGAAAATAAAATTGGCTTTTCTGTTGGTGTCTTATAAATGATAACAGTTTTTTGGGCCCTAAACACAACTCGCAGTGTTTAGTGTTTTTGCAACTGAACTTAAAATGGCGTCTGTATCTGCGCGTTCACCTCTGTGTTCTGTGTGTCTGTGTTTAACTGAGTGAATGTGTGTGTGTGTGTGAACATTTAAAGTGTGATAAAGAATCGAAAAAAAAAAAAAAAGGACTGCTGTATGTTTGATCTAATAAAATAAATTTTTTTTCTACTTTAACAACATTTTATTACTTTTTAATTTACAATTTTTACTTCTTGTTTTTTTTTTTCCAATTAAACAGCAATAAGTAACAATATTTATACAACACTTCTGTTTGTTTCTGCACCCAAAAATGTGCAAAAAAAAAAGTTGAATAAATTGCCAACTTTTCTTTTTTTTACAAAAAACCTATCCAATAACATATGAATAGCATTAAACACTTCCATACACTTTGGCATTGATCACTGACGACTGAACAAACTAATTGATGCAAATGTTTCATTGTAAACTGCAAAACCTTTTCTTAAAGATAGTTAAAT